ATCCAGCCTATCTTATCTAGATAGACCTGCAGAGATAATAACATACATAAAAAAAACAAGACAGAGCAAAACAAAGTGACAATAGAACGGCAATCATTGCCCTTCTGTGATTGACCAATTTCACGAAACATAACAGTTTCCATGTCCGTCCATGTCTGAGGTGTTTCATGGTTTCATCATTGTTTTTCAGTGATGAGTGGTACTCCAATTGTGTGTGTGCATCAACATTCCATTATTAATCCTCTACTGGGCCTTTAGGCTGTTTTTAACTTCTTGCCATTGTGAACAATGCTATGATGATGTAATGATGAGTGCAGATGCCTGTTCATGATATGGGCCTTACTTCTTTAGGGTACATACTTAGCAGAAGTAACGGTTGGATCACATGAAATTTCTATTCCCAGTTGTTTGAAGTATTGCCATATTCATTTCCACAATGGTTGTAGAAGAAATAGCAACCTTATAGTAAAGAAACTTGGCATATGCCACCTTAACCAAATGGTCAAGGGCATCATCAGTGGTGCCATGTAAGTTATGTTGATACAATGTGCCCTTTATTATTGATGTGATAAGAATACCTCCTTTTTGCTATGCCTCCCCCTAACCCACAACCCTGGTCTACTAGTGAAAAACAACAGAGAAACAAACAAAAACACCCCATCAAATGCAAATTGAAGGACATTCAGTAGAAGACCTGACCAGCCTCATCGGAACTAAAAATCATGAAAAATCAACATGTATACCTGGTTATGTAAGGTGTTAACATTAGGGAGAGTTGGGTGAACTATATGCAGGGATTGCCTGTACTCGCTTTGTAACTTTTCTACATATCTAAAATTTTTCCAAAATAAATTTTTTTATTTGGAAAGGGTAATGAAAAAAAATGACACACAAAAAAGGCCTAAATGATTTTGATTGGCAAGCAAACAGACCTGGAGATGTTATTTACATTAAAATAAACTGTCTCATCACCAGAAAATGGAAATGGATCACAATTTATTTAAGAAACACAATGGTCAATAAATATGAAAACCATTTAAATCCCACTAGTAATTATAGAATTGCCCATCAAAGCATTATTGGGAACATTTTCATCTACTAAATTTTCCAAAATGGAAAAATAATGGTATTCAGTTGTAAGGAAGGTACGTGGATGAATGAGTAGATTGGAGCAACTTTTTTCTAGACAGCAGCTGACCAATAGAAGAGTGAGATCTCACATATAATTAGTGTTTGTAATCACAGGTATACATATTTTTTCTAAAGGAAATAATCAGAGATGTAAGCATTTTCTAACAGAAATCACAGGATTATTGATTATGAAAAACTTAAATGTCTGAGAACTTAACGGCCTAAGTTGAGGCAGCCCTGTGGAACACAATGTCAGGGGACCATTGCACAGCATAACGCTAAGAAAACCAATAAAAGCAAGATAAAGGTCTTAGATCCCTGACTTTATGTTCATGTATGAAAGCGTGTCTATTAAAGGGATATCAAGGAAACCTATCACCGTGTAAAACTGTCTTTTCTTGAGAATATGGGCATTTTTGTTTTCTTTATCCCCTCTGCATTTTCAAAATTGCCTGTTAAGAGAATATATCACTTTTATAATTGGGGGGGGATGGGGATAAAATTACAAGCAATATGGTTGGTGTGTTTCTGTCATCTTTATTGATGATTTAATTAAGAACATGTTTAAGTTTAATTTTGTGCTGTGAAAAATATGTCTTCTTTCCACTAGGAAACTCGCCAGGGTACTCCCACTGCCGAGTGAAAACTGGGGAGCACTAGTTGGAGAATGGTGCTGTCATCCTGACCCCTTTGCTAATAAGCCACTTCATCCACGAGAGAATGACTGTTTTATTGGAGACTCCTTCTTCTTGGTGAATTTAAGAAACGATTCATGGCAGCCAAGACCAGAAGTCGAGACAAATGCTTCTTCTTCTGAGAGACATTTTGAATTGGTAAAATATCTTTTCAAAATAAATGTTGATTTGGAAGTTGGCTTCTTTGGTCTCTGCTGTTACACAGCCCATTCTAAGTCTGAAATATGTTAGTTCTATCTGCCTCTATTCTTCAAACTCTGCTCTATTACTATAACTAATTTACTGCTCTCAGGTTGATTCCAATTCATAATGACCCTATAGGACAGAGCAGAACTTCCCCTTTGGGTTTCTAAGAATTTTAATCTTTACATGAACGGAGAACCTCATCTTTCTCCCGTGGATCAATTGATAGGTTCAAACCATTTACCTTGTAGATAGCAGTTCATTGCATAGCCCGCTACCTACCAAGGCTTCTTAAACAGATAACACGACCAGCATGGGGTCTATTGCGACACCAAGAACTTATAGCCTTAAACTGAAACAGCCATGGAGAAATGGAGGAATAAGTTAAAGTTCTTCTATTTTATAAGCAAACTCCATTACTTTCTCACTTTTAGGACTAGGGCAATATTCTGAAACTGTGCACACCTTATCCTCACGTTGCCGTTAGGTGCCATCGAGTGGGTTTTGACTCACAGCAACCCTATGAACCACATAGCAAAAGCACTGGCCGATCCTGTGCCACCCTCACAATTGTTTGTATGTTTGGCCCAGTTGTTACAGCCACTGAGGCCTTTCTCTATTTTGTTGCCCTTTCTACTTTACTGAGCATGATGGGTTTTTTTTTCCCAAGTACTTGTCTCTCCTGAGTCCAAAACATGGGACTGTGGACATGAGACAATGTCCATAACATGCTGAGTGTGCATGAAACGAACATAACCTCCTCCCTTCTAAGGAGCATTCTGACTGTACTTCTTCCAAGACACATTTGTTTGTTCTTTTGACATTTGTTATAGCCTAATTCAAACTAAAACGATTTCTTCTTTCCAGATGTTTTCTATGTAATCAAACAAGCAAACCCACTTCCATCCGGCCAATTCCAGCTCATAAAGACCTTACAGGGTGTAGTAGAACTATTCCACATTGTTTCCAGGGCTGTACATTTTGATGGAAGCAGATTGCCACATCTTTCTCCTGTGGAGTGGCTGATGGGTTTGAACTGCTGACATTTTGGTTAGTAACTAGATGCTTAACCACTGTACCACTGGAGCTGCTTGATGGTAGGCATAAGCATTTACTGTGTGCTCTTACTCTAGATTTCTGCTGGTGTCATAAACCAGATGACCAAGGAGGAAATGGAGCCCAAGCACGCAAATAAGCTGTGCTGTAGCTTCTAGGTTGGTGCTTGACAGTGTGAGGTCAGGTGGCTCTGGCTGTATAAGTTGCTTTAGGGAAAGGCAATTTTCTCTTAACTGCAGAGAACAAGTAGTTTACTTTATTTTAAAAGAAAATCAATGGCATTGGCTTGGCCTTTGTGAGAAATCATTCCTCTGATGGCAAGTCGATACAGATGGGATTTAAAATCTAAGAAAGCTGTGGGCAGAGAAAATTCATTTTGACATCTGATTGTTGATAGAAACCACAGTATTTTTAAGATTTTGCTTGTAACTCATTAAAATTTTCTAGTAAACTGGGGTTTATCAACAAGAAACATGCAGCACTTGACCACCTCTTTGGCTGTAAATTAGTTCATGTAGCTATTTTCTATTTTAAGAACTATTAAGGAAGTTCTCCAAATTTTGAGGTTAAATTGATGTCAGTTAAAATTTAAGTGCCTCCTCAATCACCATAAACACAATTGCCATTACCTAAATGTGGTTTGTTTTAAATTTTGGTACTTTAACACCTTATGTGTTTCAAAGGCAAATGGTGAACTTAGTCATTCGCAAAATGACAAATATAAAAAAAAGGACAAATATTATATAACTTATGAAATAGAAAATCAAGAGAAAGGTTGCATACCTCCGCCAAAAGAACAGAAGGAGACCTTGAATGGTTAGAGGGGTGGATGGGAGAGAGAGAGAGAGAAGGGGAAGCAGTAGGCTGGAAGGTGGACAGGTGTGAACACAGTTGAAAGGGAAGGTAGGGGACAGGGCAAGGGATTGGGAGGCTTGATGAGGAGCTGAAAACTAAAAACGATCTGAAATGTAAGCCTTCACTTGAGTCACAATAAAACATCATCCCCCCCCACCCCGATAAAATCACTTAGAAGCTAATCTAAATTGGTTATAATTATTATTAACCTGATTATCTTACATTTATATTGAAATCTAAATTTAGGTACCCATACTCCCGGTGCTTTAGCTTTGTGGTTAAGGTATATGCTTTTAGAATATTTCAAAGGAGTGAGCCATAGAAGAGTGGAGATTTTATCCCCTCCAAATTTGTGTCTTTATCAATTACATGGTGCTATCTGGCAAGAATTTTTCTTCATTGTAAACAACCATGCTATGTGTTAAAGAACGACATTACAGTTTTTAGTATCAAGGAGACTGTGGGAAAGTATTGTCATGACAAGCTGCCGTTGACAAGATTGTTTTTAAGTTAGCCTAGATGGAAGTTTCCACTTTAATTGCATAGTGTAGCAGGTGAAAGAGTATGCCTGTGACTAAAATAGTAACATAAATTTGGAGGGCCATGCTTGAACAGGCTTCTCCAGGATCCTGTGGGAACAAGGCTGCTCCGTGCTATCGAAAACCTATTTCTCATATAACGCAGTCTGCTATCTAGCAGGGTTTAGAAATGTCACATGGTGACACAGCCTCCTAATGGTATCTCTTGGGAAACATTTTTTTGACCAGACTCTATCAAGGGTCCTTAGAAACTGAAACAACACAAAGGAAAATAAAAACGAGGACAGGAAGCTAACCTACCTCTGAGCAGCCATGCCATCTCTCAGATATATTGATTTAATTAGTCTGCAATGACGTCTGTCATTGGTGTTTGCTCTATAGTCTCCACACCGTGCGGCTGCTTCATTATACGACTCCCTTCAGGGTTTCCTTTACGTATAGTTCAAGGAAAACGCACCTCAAAGCCGAGTTCCTCTTTAAAGAAAATTAAGTATTATGTAAGGTCGTCCTTTAAGACAGTCTGACTTTTAAAAGCAACATAAAGTAGCATCAAGTCTGACACTAGTTTCTCTCCCTCATGGATCCTTTTATTTTCTAAAGTTGTGAGCTAAAGGCTTTCCCATACTCCTACATTCATTTGTCATCTCTTGGGCTAATTTTGGTTCCTGCCAACAAAATACAAAATTTGCATCTTTTAATAGGATGATAAAGATGGTGCCTCAACCTCTTATAAGAGTTATAATATTATTCTAGACCTAGAAAATATAGCCACAATTTGACTTCATTCTATTTTTTTAAAGGTAAACGTGAGTTTTGATGATTACTGCTAGCAAGTATGACAAGCAGCTTTACCTATTTATTCTTATTTTTTCCTGACCTGTATATTTAATTTACTGGTTTTTGGTGATTTTTTGCTTTGCTACATCCATGTACTTTTGCTTTGTTTGGGCACGATTGTTTCTGGAAATTGAGTTGCTAAATTTCTAAGCATTCACAAAAGTAAAGAGAGTGTTTTCGTGAACCTCAATATGCCAGTTCTCCTGATTCATCAGTTATACTTATGTTTCTTTTTCTTTTTTCTGAAGTGCTTCAAAGCAAATCTCAGACATAAGTCATTTTGTTCCTACATGCTTCAGTGTATGCTTCTAAAAAAAAATGCATTTCCTACATAACCACAGTTCCATTGTCACACGTAACCAAACGAACAAATGTTCCTTGATGACACAAATAGGGTTATTTGTGTCTCTCACTGTAATGTGTCTCTCACTGTAAGGTCGTTCGAATCACTACCCACACATTTGGCTGTTTACAGTAATTTATTCTTTATTGATCAGACACTGGAAACCTGATTACCCTTGCCTGAAAGGGTAGATTCTTATTTAGAAAGCAAGCAAGCAAACAACACCCATTTCCTATCTCAACTGAAAGAAAACGTCCAATATGCTGCAAGAGCAATAACAGAATGCATAACAGCACCTGACCAAAACTCTGGTTTGAATAGAAATATTCTTCCTTCTACAACAATACTGTATATCAATTTTAGTTTGGGGTGGTGCTATATGTTAATTTTAGTTTGGGTATGATTTAATTAGGTTTAAATGGATCATGCAAAAATGTTTTTACTATTAATTTGGATTCACACCAAACCCAAAACCACAGCCATGGAATTGATTCCAACTCATAGCAACCCTACATCGAGTTTCCAAGTCAATAAATCTTCCCTCCCCGCCAAGCCTGTAAATCTTTACGATAGAGAGCCTTATTTCCTCCCTTGGAGGGGCTGGTGGGTTGGGACCACCACTAACTTGATAGCACTGCCAGAGTGTTTTTGTAAGAAAGCACTAAACTGGAAAGAGCAGCCCTTTACGGTTGAGCGTACTGATTACTCAGAGCCCTGGGGAAGTGAGTTATGCATTGGAGTACTAACTGTAAGATCAGTAGTTTGAAACCACCAGCTGCTCTGTGTGAGGAACATGAGGCTTTCTACTCCCATAATGATCTTATAGTCATAGAAACCCACAGGCAATTCTACTCTGCCCTATAGGGTTGGTAATCAGCTCAATGGCAATGGATTGAAATACTGATTTCTGAGCTATGTTCTTTTGTAACTGTGTTTGGACACTAACAAATTGGCACTGTCTTGGTCTCTTTATCTGTCTCTTATAATGGAAATGACCTCAGTACCTGAGTTACTCACACCAAGCTCACTCTGAGCCCTGCTGTCTGTGGAAAAGCCAGA